CGACGTTGTAGAACAAGCCAATTCGCTTCGTGAACTCGGCAACCAGGATACCGTTTGTTTTCTACCTTGTTTTTTTTGGCGGTAACCATAATGGTGGTCGAGTAGATCATGTTATGCGGGGTGGAGAACCCTCACTCCGTGCAAGGGGGATGATCGCACCACGTTGTATTGAAATGGTCAAGCACCCTCGAGGCAGTTACACAGTGCCTATAACTGTCTCTGGAGGTGAAAACACCAGAAAATAGATTGAGTCATACGCAGCTGTCATCCGTACGCAAGGAAGAAAGCACACGATGCCGAACACCCTGTGCAGGATGCAGCGCACCCTTCATGCGACTCGCCGAATATCTCACGGCGCTTCGCGCTTGGTGATGTGAGAACCTGGTCCGGTGAGAACCCGGCGTGCTCCGTCCCGGCTTTGTAGGGATGCGAGGTCAATGGTCTAACGACACGGCATGCACGACTATGAGTACCCCCCCCTTCCCCCCAACTCCCTTCGTGAGCTGGGCAACCAAGTTGCCGTTTTTTTTTTCTACCTCATTTTTTTGTGGCGGTAACCATAATGGTGGTCGAGTGCATCATGTTGTGCGGGGTGGAAAACCCTCACTCCGCGCAAGGGGGATGATTGCACCACGTTGTGTTAAAATGGTCAAGCAACCTTGAGGCAGTTACACAGAGCTTATATCTGTCTCTGGAAGTGAAAACACCAGAAAAGAGATCAAGTCATACGCAGCTGTTATCCGTAGGCAAGGAAGAAAGCGCAACATGCCGAACACCCATAGCAGGATGCAGCGCACCCTTCATGCGACTCGCCGAAAACCGCACGGCGCTTCGCGCTTAGTCATGTGAGAGCCTGGTCCGGTGAGAACCCGGCGTGCTCCGTCCCGGCTTTGTAGGGATGCGAGGTCAATGGTCTAACGACTACGGCATGCACGACTGTGAGTACCCCCCCCCTCCCCCCAACTCACTACGTGACCTCGGCAACCAGGTTACGTTTATTTTTTTTTACCTTTTGTTTTTTTTGGCGGTAACCATAATGGTGGTCGAGTAGATCATGTTGTGCGGGGTGGAGAACCCTCACTCCGCGCAAGGGGGATGATCGCACCACGTTGTGTTAAAATGGTCAAGCACCCTCGAGGCAGTTACACAGTGCTTACAACTGTCTCTGGAAGTGAAAGCACCAGAAAATAAATTAAGTCATACGCAGCTGTCATCCGTACGCAAGGAAGTAAGCACAAGATGCCGAACACCCTTAGCAGGATGCAGCGCACCCTTCATGCGACTCGCCGAATATCTCACGGCGCTTCGCGCTTAGTCATGTGAGAGCCTGGTCCGGTGAGAACCCGGCGTGCTCCGTCCCGGCTTTGTAGGGATGCGAGGTCAATGGTCTAACGACTACGGCATGCACGACTGTGAGTACCCCCCCCCTCCCCCCAACTCACTACGTGACCTCGGCAACCAGGTTACGTTTATTTTTTTTTACCTTTTGTTTTTTTTGGCGGTAACCATAATGGTGGTCGAGTAGATCATGTTGTGCGGGGTGGAGAAGCCTCGCTCCGCGCAAGGGGGATGATTGCACGACGTTGTGTTAAAATGGTCAAGCAACCTCGAGGCAGTTACACAGTGCTTATATCTGTCTCTGGAAGTGATAACACCAGAAAAGAGATTAAGTCATACGCAGCTGCCATCCGTACGCATTGAAGTAAGCACAACATGCCGAACACCCTGAGCAGGATGCAGCGCACCCTTCATGCGACTCGCCGAAAACCGCACGGCGCTTCGCGCTTGGTGATGTGAGAGCCTGGTCCGGTGAGAACCCGGCGTGCTCCGTCCCGGCTTTGTAGGGATGCGAGGTCAATGGTCTAACGACTACGGCATGCACGACTATGATTACACCCCCCCGACAAGGACCGTGTTGTTACAAAGCAGGTTTTCCTTGGGAGATGGAAAGATTACTGTATGTAAATGCTTCTGATGCTGGTGTTCATTCCTCCTGGTGTCGTTTGCAAAAATACAAACAATAGCACCCTCAGCAACCACGTCCTCTATCTTGATCTAGCCAGAGACAACAACGAAACGGCTCCAATATTACGCTCGACGACGCAAAATCACGAGCATGACATATACAACTGAATCTTATGCATCGGGACAGCTCCGAATATTTTCTTCGGAACACGGAATGATGCAGGAAATCATGCGTGAGGGAGGAACACGAAGAAGCCCATCAGTGTTCGTGAGAAGGCGGACCGTGAACAGCATAAATTTATGAAACTTACCACTGGCTACTACTGTTGAGGACTAGAGCTATGAACCATGCAGCAGACCTGCCACGTGTTTCTCAGTTCGTGACGCGAGTGAACTTTCTCACTTGTATGACACAAGCTCGTTTCGTTATGAACTCAAAATACATCAGATCAGGTGGGTAGTCTTGCCTGCCACTTTCGTTCGCTTCTGATGGTTTCCGCCCTGTGCTCCAACAAGCACAGATGCATACGCACGCTCCCCTTTGTGCCTAAGATGGAACTATGAGTGAAACGCGAGTTCCCAACGAGGGTCATTCTTTTTTTCAGGGTCACTCTTTCTTCATTCCCAACAGGCCTTACCTCAGGAACTCGAGGAAGTCGGACAGCCACGACCTTTCTGAACCCACCGAGTCAACGAGAGAAAGGATAGCGAGAAACTGGATCTGGACGATTAGCAGAACAACCAAGGCCGACGAGGGTCTGCGGACGCTCGCGAGGATCCCCGCAGCCAGTAGTACCGTCTGCTCGTTCCTTCCGACAGCAGTAGCGCCCTCCAGCCCTACTGCAGCAGCATCTTCCGCAGGCCGTCCATACGTGCCATCAACTGCTCCCCTCTCGTTACTGTCTTGGGCAGGAGCGTCGCCAAACCCGGCCGAAGTAGTATTGTCCACCAGTTTTATATTCGCGGCACCAGTGACAACTTCTGCTCCCCCCTCGCTACTGTCTTGGGCACGTGCGTCACCGAGGCTTGCCGAAGCAGCATTGTCCGCCAGTTGTCTATCCGGGACATCAGTGACAACTGATCCCTGTTCCCCCTGGTTTCTTGATGATGATGACGGCTTTGGATCGACGGGAATTTTGGCGGTTTCCGTTGACGAAGAGTTTGTATCGCCCCCGATCAAGTTAGCGATTATTGAGGCAATCACCGTAGACACGACGACAAACGTCGCAAAGTGGGCAGCCCGTACTCCAGAGCGGGAGCCCTGTTGTGAGCGGCGAGTGTCGTTGACGGTCATCATAAGAGAGGGGGAGAGGGGCAAGTTAGAGGACAAGCGCAGTGCCGAATGATGGTGTAACGGGTTGGTGAGGGTAGCATGTCCGGCTCACATACGCCGACACCGCACAAGAGAGCGCGTACATTCATGGATTATATGTTACACTACCCCTTGTTGGGTTCAATCATACTGCCCCGTGTCTGTCCACTCTTGCATCGAAACGCTTCCTTCCCAAGGAAACTATGGCAAAGAAGGCGTCATCAATGCCCTTGGTCGTTACCTCAGCCGGACAGGTCGGGTCGGGCAGGATGGACAAGTCGGGAACGTTTTCCTGTTCGTCCTCATAGTCCACCGAGATGACCAAGCCGCAATCCAACAACCCAACCGCGAACTGGGTGGGGTTGTTCTCCAGGTTGTCTGCGGCAAAGGTAACCCTGTAGTGGCGCAGATCGAAAATAGTATAGCGAAATAGGTCGCCGCAGGCATCAGCGCACCGTCATTCTATGCTTGAAACAGGCTGAAATTCTACAAAGTGCTGTGTGTGGAGTTGAAGGCAGGGCGTTATCCAAAAATGCTCGTGCGTGTAGTCCCTTGAACCTATTACTGCATCGACCCGAGAGAGCAGTGCAAAGCAGTACGCCTAGAGAGAACCTCAAGGGAGTGGAACGAAGGTACGTCCGTCGCGAGCGATGTGCAGAGCTGCGCTTGCTTCGCCCGCAAGCGTTGGCACACATACATCACCTGTTGCCGGTGATTGCCGCGTCTGACGAGACCACCGAAAGAACAGGAACATCAAACTCGACGGTGATGCTAACGTTGGTGGCAGGACAAGACAAGACTGTTTGGTCGGCGATGACTTCGATGTCCTCCACGGCGGCTACCAGGGATAAAGGCAAGAGGGTGGGGAGTTGGGGGGGAGATCGCAATCACTGAATCAGACGGACGATGTGGTCGTCGCTTGTCGCACCAAAGCGGAAGACACGGAGGGTTCTGCGGTCGGGATGTAATAGTTTGATTGGTCATGACCCGTAGTTCCTGGCCAGGGATGCCGACGGTGTATGGGGAACGACAAAGAGTGTACCCGAGCAGGTTGGATAACGGTTGTGATGTGTGCGTTGGTTTGTGCTGGTAGAGTGGGACCGAGCGTCCAACTTCGACAAGGCCAAAAAACGGAAAATATAAGAAAATCAAGCCTGGTTTCAAAACGAGTCCGAGCTGACCCGCCGGATGGTGAATGCGAAGATCGAGCAAGGAAGTGGTCCGGGAGATGTCTTGAAGATCTGGCTCCTGGAAATTGTATGTTGTCCCTTGAATACTCGGTCTTACCACAATGTGAAAGTACACTTCATTGGCGTGCGAAGCCCCGAATATTCCCCAGCGCGAGCAATACCCTTCGTCCCTGATCATCCGCGGCAATGCCGTACAACAGACCACCTGACGTCTCAGGTTGTTCCCAACTACATATACATCCGCAAGCCCTCTTCGCGACTCTCCCACGCTGCCATTCATGGAATCATATACGTACGCATGTCAGAGCATACGAATCCACCGCGCGTTCGACAAAAGGCGAAGAGACAACTAACTGTATGAGGAGAGACGTAAACCAAACGTGCCCACCTTCAAGTGAGCTGAAGTTTGTGACACTGAACACGTTGGATTCCTCTCCTGCAATGTCTAAAAGGGTTTCAGTCGAGATCTGTGAACCTGCAAGTACGATGATTCAGCAAAACAGAGGGGATAACGTTGAGCAGGTGGTCGGATCAGGATTCGACCGACGGTACCGAGCAACCAACGCCAGGGTAACGACGTGGTCAGTCCTTGCAATCGGAATCCCACCGTACCAGCAAAATTCTTGTTATCTCCCCCCCTCTACGTCTTCGATGACGACTATTGCTGCTGCTGCTACTCTCGCATACGCACCTCGAGCACATTGTATTCACGTTATATTAGCGGTTTTCAGCGTAGTGTAGACGCTGATAGTGTCTCCTGTGCTCAGGAGTGTTCGAGCCCTTCAGTGCTGAAGCCCGAGCTCTCACGAAGGCATGCTCTCAAACCAGCAACATCGGCGTGATCCCCTCTCCGACAGTCTTTGCCACGTTACGAAATATAGCTTTTCGTCTCTTGAAGATTCGTGATGACTAGCGCGGTTGAGCTGATCGTCGTTCAGTCTATCTTATGCTTTGAGAGTTCAAGAATAGGGCCCAAACACATCAGATCACTTGATTCATGGACCAAATCATCCTGCTGCAAATCTGTTGTATTCAAATTGGAGAGCTATCCATCAACGGGCAGGTCATACCTACTCCCACGGCGAATATAGTGGTTGTGTTGTCCGCCCTCGTTTCCTGGGCCGCTGTCGACGGGTCGGTATAACTCTCGCCGTCCGTGATCAGAACCATGAAGGAAAACGACGCAGGATTCTCGTTCAGTAGCGCCCTGCCTGCAATGATGCCTGCGGTGGGTATGTGTGGCGATCAGTTGTATCGGCTGTTCAGGTTGATGAATTCCATGGGCTTACGAAAACCAGGTCGGCGGCAACCGCGGCAACTTTTATTGCTCCTACTCAAGTAACTTAGCTCGTGCTGCAATCTGAAATTGGAGATAATGCGTACCGTCCGCGATGTCTGTGTCCCCTCCCCACTGGATGACGGAATCAACGTGCTCGTCGAAACTTTCCGTGGAGGTGAAGGTCCCTTCATCGTAAGTGGAAGTGCTGAACTGCACGTAGGAGGCCGTTCCACCGTTGTCGAAGATATTCCTTCTAGCGAAGGCAGCTACGGTGTCTTTTGCGAACTGCTGTTCAAGGATCCAATCGGACGACACGATGCTTCCAGAGCCGTCGACCACGATGACAACGTTAACCTTGGGCGGATGGATGCGCAAGAACGCGAAAACAAGCACGAGAAAGTATCTTGCTGGCACTCGCCTTTCGTACCAAACACCAAAGCTGTGATAGACTAAGGAAGGCAGGCACATGTCAATGGAGGCGGCAAGCAAAATTGTTACGTTCAGACCGCCGTGCAAGAGTACTCGATATCATGTTTGTGCGAGTACAGCTCGCGGGATGGAAGGGCTTCTGATCACGCTGAGGAATGAGCAACTACTGTGGCGAACAGCGACGATAATCGTGTACCCGGACCCCGGCGAGATTCTTCACGTTTTTCCATTGACTCACGATGTTCGTCCTCAAGGTTGTTGCTCCTTCCATAGTAAACGTCAATGACGGCTCGTCCTCAGGGTAGGGAGAAGCATCAGCAGCGCTGCTATCCACAACCTGGACGCAAGAAGTATTGGATTGGGCCGATCCGTTCGCCAGGAGCATCAAGAGAGCCAAGATCGTGATGCCGTTGCTGCTCCTGGCCTTCTTGGCCTACGTTGTCGAAGACAAAGTTTGTGGGACGGATGTTCGCAGGAACGAGCAGGTTAACTCACAGTACACAACTTTGGCGCCGTATGCCAGAATCAATTGTGGAGCGTTGCATTTACTGCCGTATGAAGTTCGTGCTGCGCTTGAGAAGGACAGGGGAGGACGATTAGATTGGCGGCGATGAGGGAACTCAGGCGGCGTGTTCTACAGAGAACGGGGTGGTCGTAATAGTCAAACGTATACATACGTGTCGTGAGCGTCATTAATTAATTGACCGACAAATAACGGTGGGTATAAAAGACACCCAGGCCTCAAAATGATTTTTCGAGTAATGGCCCTGGAGCAAGCAGAGTACACACGTCAGTCAGTGGTGGGAGATATGACAGCACAGCCACAAGGTTGGGGAGTTCTCGTCAGCGGGGTGGCCTTCGGGTATTGGAAACATGTTCGTCTTCTTGGGAAATTTCTCGGTGGAAGAGCGGGAGGCAGGTAGGCCTCCAGTCGGCCTCCCCCTCGGACGGGGATCTATGTCCCCGCACAGACAGAGAGGGAGAAGCAGGTGGTATTCACCGGTCGGTATGATGAGTGACAACCGTATGCGGCGGTTAACAATTCACTGGTTGAAAAGGCAGTAGTCTAGACTACGCAATAACTCAAAAGCGACACCCAGTGAAATCTCACCGTGCACACTTGACGTAGTTGAGATCGACAGCCGGTGTTTCGGCGTGATGGCTCTAGAAGTATGGGACCAGGTTCCTAAGGGACATACATTAAGTAAACAGACCGCTTCAGGGTGGGCCTTGTCAAACAAAGTGCAATATCAAAAGTCGAAAATTAATCGGATTTTCATTTTTTATTTCGTGGTTTCGGTCCACGCAAGTACCGCCGCCGCCAAAAAAAATAAAAATCGCGGCGAAATATCGAACAGACCGCGGTCGCACATTGCGGTTGTTAGGCCTTTTGCTTCATCGGCCACTTTTTTTTCCCTTTTTCTGCCGTTTTGTTTTTTTTCGGCCCCTTTTTTTCCTTTTTCGGCCGCCCTCATTTTTTTCCGGCCACTAGGAATTGTGCAATTTTCTTCTCGGCCGTAGCCGTACAAGTACGATTTTTAACATCCTATTGTGCCTCGCGCATACCTCTCCTGTAACCAATGCTTGTTGAGGGTTCTTGGTAGATAACGTGTGTCTAGTCTAAAAAGTACTGATGCGTCGTGTACTTTGTGCTGTGTCAACCGAGGACGTTAGCATACACAAAGGAAAAATGCAAGACACTCCGCGGTCGTTGTCAACGGTTATCACTAGTCATCGAGAAAAAGAGTACACTTCATACCACACGCCTCCGAAGCCTACGCTGTCCTCTTTCACCTCATCTATTCCTCGTCGCTCACGTCCATGTCTACCCCCCCCGCCTCCGCGCTAGCCCCTCCAGCTGCGAGCTGCAAGCTGCGGGTGTTTTTTTCAAAAGTGCGCGGAGGGCTCCTCCAAAGACTAAGACCGCCGCCCTAAAAAAGAGAAAAATAATGTCGGAAACCAATATTGTATTTATGAAGGGAAGGGGGGAGGGGGGCAACCGATTTTCGATATTCGGCCGGTTGAAATCGGAACTCTGCCCTCGTAGCCGATTAGAAATCGGCCGTAGCCGATTGAAAATCTGCTACAGGCAATCCTATTTCGGCTGAGCCCTGGCCAAAATCGGCCGCTTAGTTTTTGACATATCGGCCGTTTTTTTCTTCGCCGTTTTCCGGCCGAAATTTTCAGATCGGCTCTTTCGGCCGCGGCCGATGGAGCAAAGGCCTAGCGGTTGTGCGGTTGTTCACGAAAGCTGGTGCTTCCGCCTGCTGCACACGGTACCAGGCACACGACGAGACGCAGGGCCACTACTCCCGATGACGGTGGTACGGCCTCGCACTGGAGTGGATGCACGCCGTACAGCCGTCGCTCGCCGCAACGCAAGGATGCAAATCGTAACAGCAGCTGCTCGCTGGTGCCTCGCCGCGACGACAGCGTTGACTTGTGCGTCCCAAGTCGTCCACACTCGGCGTGGAGCATGCGTGAGAAGGAGCCGACAGGAGTGGGAGGAGTTATCAAACCTTTAGAGCAGGATGGGTCATTCAAGACGCGGTATCGTATGAGCCCGAAGGAGGTCAACGGGCTGCACGAGATTTGTCGGGAACGTCTTGAGCGCCATAGCCCCAAAGGGCGTGGCCACAACGGCACCATAGCTGGGCAGTGGGCGCTCGCTTCCACGTTGCATTGGCTCGCAGGGCACGGCGTCAGCGCTGCGGCTGATGGTCCCCACATGGCCACGAGCACAGCATTTGCGAAGATCAAGAAAGGGCTGGATACCATCAACGACTGTGGGAGGCTTCGGATAAAGTGGCCGAGAACGGACGGGGAGCTACAAGCGAAGGCGCGGAGGTTTGCTGCTCGGAGTTCCCAACTTGACCCTGTCCTGAAGCGCTGTGTGGGAGCGCTGGATGGACTCCTTGTGCAACGCAAGAAGCCTAGCATCATCGAACATCCGTGTCGAGATCGGTTCTTTCCAGGGCACAGATGACAGTGGGCATGAACTACCAGGTGCGACAAATACATGGTTCAAACCTCGCATGCAGTAGACTGCTGTGTACACCCCCCCCTCGGCCTGCTCCCCGGCCGGGGCCGAAATCGACCTAGTGAGTCCCTCGCGGGAGAACCAGGCCACAACAGATAGTAGGCGGGTGGTGTCCCAAGGTGCAACTCACCGCCGCGCTGGCTCAGCGTGGCGGTGAGGATGCACAGACGGTGGTAGTGGCGAGAGGTGTGTATGGACACTGTTCCCGCGGCAGTAATGCAAAGCGGCAAACTGCACCTGGCAACCACCGTCGCGGAAAGCGTGGCCCACGAAGCTGGAGGAGTAGAGAGATTCGTAAACACCACGTCAGTATGCACCGCTCGCGGGAGAAGGGAGACAACCGCGGGCACCGCGGGGAGGGAGTGCTGCACCCTCCTCGTCAAAACACCACAGGCAAGAACCGNCCGCCCACGGCGCTCAGGCGGCCAACGCGAGAGACCGCCGCCGAGGCGACGGCTACCGTGATGTCGGCCGCTGCTGAGACCGCGCCGCTGACGAGGTGCGCACGAGGGCAGAGAGGCTGGTACACGAGCGAAGCGCAGCACGAGATCTCCGAAGCGTCTAAGGAGATTAAGGCGGCCCAGCAGCAACTGCGTGGGGCCTCAAAGAACAGCGCCTTCGAGGTGACCCTGAAGGCGATGCTCAAGGCGGCGCGGAAGAAGCGCAGCATCGCGACGTGGAGAGCACTGGAAAAGTTCTTCGAGGGCTATGTACGGCAGCTCGAGAAGAAGAGCCGCGAGGGGGATCAGGCGGGTTTCTACAGGCACCTGAAGATGATCGACGTCGAAGGTAAGAGGTCGTTCACCTCTCAGAACATCAAGGACGAGGACGGCAAGGTCCTTCGGGACCCCACGTTTATTCCACAACGGTGGGACATGTTGCAGATGAAGCAGTGGCCCATTCTGTGGAGCCCGCGGCAGGTGCCTCTGCGAAACACCGCGAGCGTTGTGCACGCTATCACTCGGCTTCACAACTACCTCCGAAGGTGTCGTTCTGAACCGCCACCTGCCACCGCCCGGTTCTTTAATGAGGACGGAACCATCAGGAGCACCGCTGGGCACACCATCGTCGAGACGGCCCCCGGCGGCCTGTTCTCAGACTCGCGAGAACATCAGGGAGGACAATCGGAATAGAACTCTCATGCGGCCGGCGGAAAACATCAAGCGCAACAGGCGATGGAGGACGGCCATCACTCGTCGTGGCAACGGCGAATAGTAAACTAGGGCGGGGGGGGGTGTACTCATAGTCGTGCATGCTGTAGTCGATAAACCATGACCTCGCATCCCTACAAAGCCGGGACGGAGCACGCCGGGTTCTCACCGGACCAGGCTCTCACATCACCAAGCGCGAAGCGCCGTGAGATATTCGGCGAGTCGCATGAAGGGTGCGCTGCATCCTGCTAAGGGTGTTCGGCATCTTGTGCTTACTTCCTTGCGTACGGATGACAGCTTCGTATGACTTACTTTATTTTGTGGTGCTTTCACCTCCAGAGACAGTTGTAATCACTATTGTGTAACTGCCTAGAGGGTGCTTGACCATTTCAACACAACGTGGTGCGATCATCCCCCTTGCGCGGAGTGAGGGTTGTCGACCCCGCACAACATGATGCACTCGACCACCATTATGGTTACCGCCAAAAAAAAAACAAGAGGTAAAAAAAGAAACGGTAACCTTGTTGCCGAGTTCACGAAGTGAATTGGCTTGTTTT